AGTACTTCTTAGTAGGTCTCTCTCAATTGATCTTTCTAATAGGGTTCTATTAGTATTCTTGGTGCAGTGATAAATTGCACGGGGACTCCTAAAACAGGATATATAGGAGGTATGTATTGGACCAATCCAGGGGCATTCAATCATGGTTTCAAGGGATTTTGTAATATTCTCGTCACGGCAGCGTTCTCCTTTGCAGGAACAGAATTGGTTGCACTAGCAGCTGCCGAGACCTATAATCCAAGCAAATCTCTACCAACAGCCATTAAGCAGGTCTTTTGGCGTATTGTTTTGGTGAGTATTAACTACTTTAATCAACCAGATTGTCAGAAACTAATAACTTCCTAGTTCTACATCCTGAGTATAACCATCATCGGCCTGCTCGTTCCTTACAATTCTCCCTCTCTCATTTCCGCCTCAAATGCCAGCACCAACAAAGCCTCTCCCTTTATAATCGCCATTCAATCCGCAGGTATCACTGGTCTCGACTCTGTAATGAACGTCGTAATCTTAATCGCCGTTCTCTCCGTCGCTAATTCTTGCGTATTCGGCTCTTCTCGTCTCCTTGCTTCTCTCGCAGCGCAAGGCCAAGCTCCTCGTCCTCTCGCTTACATTGATCGAAAAGGCCGTCCTCTGGTCGCCATTGCTATCGCTTCTGCCTTTGGTCTCCTGGCTTATCTGTACGTCTCTCCTGCTGGAAACTCGGCATTTACGTGGTTACTAGCTCTTTCGGGGCTATCTTCGCTTTTCACTTGGGGAACTATTTGTTATTCGCACATACGGTTTCGCAAAGCGTGGGCGCAGCAAGGTCACAGTGCTGATTCTCTGATCTATCGATCCCCAGTTGGTACAATTGGTTCGTGGATTGGCCTCGGCATGATAGTATTGGTTCTCATAGCACAGTTTTGGGTAGCGGTTGATCCGATCGGGAACGTACATACGGGGATTAATACCAAGATTAGTAGCTTTTTTGAGGCGTATCTGGCAATGCCAGTGGTCTTGATTTTCTATGCGGGGTATAAACTTTGGTATAGAACAAGATGGATGAAGATTGAAGATATTGATTTGAGAACGGGAAGGAATGAAGTGGATGCAGGGATGTTGTATAGAGGAAGTAGGGGTTGGCAGAGGAGAGAAATGGAGATGGAGGAGTGGCCAATGTGGAAGAGAATTTATAAGTTGCTTTGTTAGTCAAGCTATTGGAACAATGGAGTTTAAGGAGGTGGATCTGGATACTAAGATATTATATTAAGAGCTTGGGGTGGTTTGTAGTTTTCGAATTTTGTGTTTGATACCGTATTTATGGTACAATTTTTCATATTGTTAGCCGAGACCAATAAGGAAGCTTCTTTTCAAGATTGAAAATTTTGTTGCATATCTGATTTATTGTTGCTCTTGGGTCGATCCAACAAGGGAAAGTTTTTCAGAGCTTGGGGATGTGGAGAAAAAAGGCCTTTAAGAATTCAGATAATATATTTTCTTGCCTTGGTCCTTTTTACTAAGTTTCGCACTTTGTAAAAATTCAGACGTGCAACAAAAGTCCTGCAGGTTCTAGATACTTTCTTTCTTGAACAAATGATTTTCACTAACTTCCGCACTTCATAAAACTCAGACGTGCAACAAAAGGTTTCAGATACTTTCTTTTTTTGTCTCAGCCCTGTTAATAAGTTTCGCGCTTTATAGAAACTCAGACGTGCAACAAAAAAATCTCTAATTTCTGTTTTCCTGTTTCATAGTTTGAACTTTTTTTTTCTGGATTAGAACTATAGATGTGCGACAAAACCTATAAAGCCTGTGAATGCGCAACAGTCCTACCCTAACGATACATTTCTAATATAATTTCTATAGAAAAAGGATAGAGGGACAACCTTTACGTCCACATCAAGCCTTCTCCGCACTATTCCTACTCTTCCTCCTCAACAAACTTCCAAGAAAACTTCCTTCACATGTCTGTCCCACTTTCTCATCCCCAACTGCATTAGCCACCCCCTCCTCGCCTTCCTTAGCAATCCACACATTCCCCAATCCTATACTCGCGCCGACTCCCAACCACAAAAAGGCCGAGATAGCATAGAAAGCTAAAACTATCCCCTCCTTCGCCATCTTTCTCACATAATCCTGTTCTGCCGATTCCAAAGTTGCGATGCCCGAGAAACTTGCGGTTGCGGATGTGGTACCGGACACGGATATACCAGAGGAGGAGAGATGGTTATTGAAGATATTGAGCATAACTGTCAGGGCGAGTGTGCCACCAAGCGAAGAAGAAAGCGACATCATTGAGACAAGGGGTGCGATTTGCGTCGGATAATAGCCTATTGCATGGAGGGTGCCGGGCATGAGTCTGATACCAGTTCCGACACCAGTCAAAACAAGCATGCCATAGATGGTAGGCAGATGACCCCAAGAAAGAGCTGCAGCAAGGATGGTGATACCGAGAGGTTCGATGACTGCACCTAAAAATAGTGGATACCAAGTTTGGCAGGGGAGTACATTGCAGGCGAACATGGCGAGGTATACGCCGCCTGCCAAACCTGGAATATAATAAAGAAGGTTCTTACCCCCTTCGCTGGAAGAAAACTGTAGTACGAGAGCGAAATATATGTCGACGAAGTAGAAGACGGCGTACATTGCCATTCCGGTGATGAAATTGATGTACATTAGGAGTCCAGAGTTGCGACTTAAGATGAGCTTGAATGGAATCATAGCACGACGATATGGATATCGCACTGCTAGTGCTGAGCCTGGCATCATAAGGTATTCCCAGACAAGAAATAGAATGAGGAGGAGAGAACCTAGGACGAGAGGGACAATCACCTTGGCGTCTGACCATGGGTAGTAAGCTCCTGCCCAGGTTATGGCAAGAATAAAGAGACCCATGCCAAAGAGAAATAAGAATTGTCCTCCAAAGTCGAGTGTTGAAAGTCTTGTCATTAGTGTTTGGCGTCCTTTCATTTCGGTATTATCTTCTGTTCGTCTGATTGTCTGAGGGCCAAGCATTATGGGTCGAAGAAGGAAGTGTACACCAACCATACCCACTAGCGCAATTGGAATATTGATAACAAAGCACCATCGCCACGAAACTTGTGTCAATTCTCCCCCGACGATAGGTCCAAATCCATAGGCCAGGCCACCAACAATAGCGAATACACTGTTATTCTTTGCGTTTTCTTTGAGGGTGACTTTATCGGCAAGGATAACTTTGGTCAAAATTAAAAGCCCGGAACAGCCGATTCCCTGCAATGCCCGACCAAATAGTAGCATAGTGAAAGCACTCACTGGTGCACCTGCACAAAGGGCACTTCCGATCAAGGTGAAAATTAAGGCTGCCTGAAGAGTCGCATATCTACCGACTATGTCGGCAAGTTGACCCCAGGCTGGTATGAATGTCGTTGCGGTTAAATTGAAGGCGGAAATAATCCAATTAAGTTGTGAAAGTTGGTCTGAATGGCGATTAGTTAAAATCGGGTAGAAGAGACGGAATTCTTAGGGCTCACTAAAATCAGAAGCAATGAAAGGTAAAGCTCCGGCAATAATGGTGATATCTAGGGCCTGTACCATATATGGTAGCATAAGCCCAGCAGTTAACCTCCATCTATATCGTCTGGATGCTTTCTTTTCTTGTATACAAAGACTGCATGGTTCTCCGGAAGATATACCAGCTTGTGGCTCACTTGTACCACCCTCTCTGCCTTCACTGTTTCTTGCTTGAGATTCGAGAAGAATTGCTGACTCTTGCTCTGTAGTGAAATCTAGGGAACCGTCTCTGTGTTTGCACAATTTTAAAGGGCTTGAAGATTTTGAATTTTCGATCGACGGTCCTGATGGAGCCGAAGGAATTTCCCTTGTTGCTTTCCATTTTTTATACAGATAAATGGCCATCTCCACGCAAAAAGGTACGAATAAGCAAACTAGAGAGCTGAAAAGATTCGAACAAAAGTATTAAAAGAGCTGAATATAACGTATGAGAGCACTGTAAGATAATTGAAGTTGATTTGGTTTACAACAAGTAGTAAATCGGAAACATGACGATTTTTGGAAAATATAAACCACAATTAATGTCAACTTCATGGTGACCAAACTAGGAAATTGAGAGGCTTTGATACCAAGACTGTACAATCAATCCCACCCAGCTGAGCCACTTTTGAATATCCACAGGGCTGCGTGAACATTTAAATTCATGTAAAATGAAGCATAGGCGCCAACGAACTTCATGATAGCCCAATTAGGAAATTTTGATGTCTCCATATTACGACTATACAATAAGTACCCACTTAGCTGAATCACTTTAACTGGGTAGCTGGACGACTTCTAAGAACTGTGTAGCCTTATATAAGGCATCAACATCATAAATTGGCATACACTGCAGTTGGCAATGCCTCCTTTTGCCAGTGGTCATTCATTCGTCCCTGGACATTGTTGTTTTCATTTGGTCGCCAAATTGTCGGTGCATGCTGATGTGCCTTGTCAGACTAATTTAGTGGCCCCACAAACACAGCAGTTGAAGAACTCCGCAGGCATATTCATACGTTTTCATTGGTCAACTTCCTCATACCCTCTAATAGGAAATATAAACGAGAAAAGCTCAACCAATTGCATTGGATAAGCTTTTCACGTGATATGCTTACCCTTTACACCGTAGACGTCAAACAAGACTGACCTGTCCCAATAATTTGCTTTGAAGATCTCACATTCATGTTGGAGTTTCGCTGATTCTCTTGGCTTCCTTTAATAAGATTGTATTAATCAATATACATACTTCTTCCATCCCTTTCGAGGCTACCATTGCGAAGAGTGAAGCGATCTCCGTTTGATTTCCTCACATTTGCGTTGTCACACCAGACATCATCTAAACTATTTGCCAAAACAACCGCTTGCGGCACTTCTCCCCGGTATTGTGGTCCTGTTTCAGTATATCATCTCCTAAAAGGACTGGGAACTTAACAAGGGTCGGCGGAGTATCAAGCACCTGATTCTGCTGCTCAAGCCAACACCGCTGGTCAACTATGGTTTTTTGTGGTCGTCCCTCTAAAGGATGCCATGCATGCCGAGCTAAAAAGACAAAAGTAAGTTTTTTTATAAATTACTTGATATGGCGCACTTTCCGCATGCGAAGATTCACCATGTGTCTATGTCAGTTGCTGACCAACAAATCGTAGTGTGATGCAGTACCCACTGGGTGCACTCAGTGTTCGAATGCGGGTCGAGAATGCCCCGGTTATAGATCCCAAGTTGATTTAATTTTCCGGGAGGAAACTAAAAACGTCATTAAAAAAGCAAAGGTTAAACACGAGAAAGTCAAACAAAGGAGGGCGGAACCTGTTTCTCTAAACTCCACTACTTCTTGTTCAACCACCCCCTCGCCATATTCAAGTCAAGGAAACTCACCACGCGATGTCGTTAAGTCCTCGCAATTCAACCAGGTTATCTCTGTCAATTATCTCAACATAACGCCATCAATTGAAGATAGAGCTACCGCATTCTTCCTATCAAACTATGTGATAGGCGATAATGGTCCAACTCGAGGACACCTTGATCATCTTTCCGATTTGTATGAATCTGATGGTATAGATGATAATCTTGTCGCCGCAGTCCAAGCAGTGGGTCTGGCTGGTTATGCACACTCGGCGAAAGCTCCCCATCTTATCAACCAAGCACGAGCACAATATGCCAAATCACTTCAGCTTACCAACACTGCCCTTCAATCGCCAACTGCCGTCAAGAGAGACAGTACCTTATTAGCGATATTGATCCTCGGTATCTTCGAAACTATCACAGGTTGTAACCAAAAATCAATGAAAGCATGGGCAGAACACATTCATGGTGCCGCGGCAGTTGTCAAGCTTCGGGGCCCGGAAGCCATCAAGAAAAGCGGAGGCATACGCTTGTTAGCACAAGTGACTTCGAGCCTGCTGATATCATGCATCCAGAGGGATATCCCACTACCAAAATACATTGTTGAAATTACAGAATTTGCAGAAAAGGGGATGACAAATCTTGATCCGGCCTGGATCGCTCAAAGAGTAATGATTGACTACACACATTTCAATGCAAGATATCACGCAGGTTATTATAGTGATGCTCAGGAGCTTCTTGATGATGCTGAGGCCTTGGACGAGAGATTTCTCGCCTTTTTTACAAACATACCGAAAGGGTGGGAATTCACAATAGTTCAGACGGACAAAGATCCGGATGTTGTATTTGATGGCTACTATCACGTCTATTACGATCATTGGGTAGCTCAAATCTGGAATGCAATAAGGGAACTCAGAATTTTACTCAATGAAACGATCAGAGAGGTCTTATTGAAAGACTTCACTTCTCTGGTACCATCGTTACTTGGGTCCGAATACGCAGAGCGATTCCAGATCTGTACCGAAATAATCTACCACCTACAGGCAGAAATTCTTGCAAGTATACCGCAACATATGGGCTATGTTTCGAGAAACAGTTCGCATACACAACTCTGGAGTGGCTTCGAGAAAGATGGTTTTGGAACAGATTTCCCTACCATTAGATTCTCGGGTGGATATTTTTTGATCTGGCCACTATTCCTAGTAGGCAATTTGCGCCTTTCGACTCCAGAGGTTCGAGCGTTTTGTGTTAAGAATTTGCGATATATTGGAACACAGATGGGGATCCAACATGCAAACCTTCTGGCTACTATTGTGGAACAAAAGATTCCTGTAACTGTATGGAACAAGCAGAGACCACAGTTCTCTGATAAAATCACGGATGAAGATTCTACGAATAATTTTGAGAACCAAAATCAGGGAATGCAGTACAGCCAGACCATCCCTGTTTAGGCTGTCAATTTTTGCTTCAATTCAAAGCTGGAGGTTGATTGCTCAACCCACTCATGGCAAGCGAATCATGGCGTGGTGATGATGGCATCTCAGCGTAGCCAGCAGTATGAGAAACTTCTCTTGTTGCATGTCTCACGTTCAAAATCCGCGGATTACCTACTAGGTAGGTAGTTCAATAAAAGATCGAAGTCAGAGCGGTCAAAACTGACAGTACAACGGTGACCATGGCGGTGGCCCTGAGATGAGTCGAAACAAGAATTTCTGTTGATAGTAGAAAATGACAATCCTGGTTGAAGGATCCTGTGAAATCGTTTTGCTATACAACAGATATACCCTTATATCTTATGAAATAGGCTGGAAGAGCTTTCATGAAGCCCTCAGTGGAGGTGGAAATTTAGCAGCTCTGGAAGTCTTTCTCATATGTGGATTCTTGCCAGGGCAGAGCCTAGATTCGATGCCCAAAGAGAACTAAGGAGGTTTTCCGAAGTTTGTTGTAGATACGTCATGAATAGGCAAAGATGGTCAACCAACTAGGCTTTCTGCCACACAGACCAATGCATTACAAAAGAAAAAGGTCATAGACTGTAACAATTTGCGGGTGGAATTTGTTTTCAAGGATAAATCGTGGGACATTTGTGGGATGAGCTTACCCCGTAAATTGAGTTAAGCTATTTTTTGTTTAGTTTGAGGTTCTGTGTCTTTTCATAATGTTGTTCTTATTCTGCTTTTTGAGATATACACAATAATTATGAGTTGTTTCGTCAGTCCTTCTCATGCTGCCATTTTCTGTTCTTAAAGCACGTTTTGGAATTCTTCCTGCAGTGGGTGTATGGATTGACGGGATACTGCAAAAATGGACTCGTGAATATCTCTTGATATATCAGATCATTTATTCTAGGAATTGTTACGATTATTGATTAGAGATGGAACAATAAATATATAAATTCTGATATCAAACAATTGAAGAATAAATTTATTCAAAATATCGAAAGTTGGGAAGTTTCCTGTCAATCCATATAACCACTTGTCTATGGTGGAATGAAATAAATGGGAATTCAAGGAATAATGTTTATCCGGAATGTGTCACATTCAACTACATGTCATAAAAACTTGCGAACACAACATGATAATACTAGAGAAATGTCTTTTGGTACTGGCCGGTGTGCTTTGGAAATCATTTATCATTCAAATTTGGCCTTCAATTAATTTTTTGTAAATGAACCTCTTATTAAGTACCTAATCTTTATAAACGGGTTTACCTCCGCACCTTTGCGACAAGTGAAAACCCCCCCCATCAACTAAATCCATCCCCTCTATAGACAGAGGATAAGCACATTCAACCACAGATAAACTTGTGCAAGTAACAGAGGACCAGATGAGCCATTGATATATCTATGGAACGATTGACGGATGATCTCTCAAGATTTTGACGAGGACTCTCCTCCCTCGACTTCATCCACAGTTCCCTATTCGCAAGTTAGTATTCAAGTTCCCATGTATAAAACTAAAAGAACAAATGGCTTACCTTTTTATTATCATGGCGGATCTTTGCATCCACAAGCCCTCACATAGGTACATCTCCCTGTTGCTGTTCGATCTTCATGAATTCCGATGCGGCGTGGTCATCGATATCAGGTCTGATAAATGTATATGCGATTTCAGTACGGTTGTGGCGCTCGATTCTACCCGCTTTTGAGTACCATGTCTCTATCGTACGTTCCGGACCGTAATCGTTGAATTTACATGGCTTCAAGTACTGCAATACTACGTCAAACGGCGCATTCGCACCATCTCTCATGATATCCGTTGTACCACAGATCACGGGAGTGTTCCGAGTCTCTTCTGCAAGGATTACGTGGAAGTTTCTAGAACGACCCCTCCAGGTGTGCCTTGAATGTGTGTGGATAATAGAGATCATCGAACTTCTTCCTTCCAAGCTTTTCATCATCGTACTTGAATAGCTTTCCCAGTAACTCCGTCTCTTCTCGTGTATCGAAAAAAACTAAGAAGTCCTTAATTCCGGTACTGCCTCGCTTAGATTTGTACAATATCTCCAGAATTGTAACGTGAATAGCTAAGAGTTGGTGAGACCTGTCTTCACAGTCGCCCTAGACAAAACCACCCGATATTTGTATCAAACTGGCAAAATCGGTTTCTGATACTGTAGTTCCACTCTTGTACTCATCAAGCTTATCGTATGTGCTCAATAAAGAGCTGATATCTGGATGAGGTGGCGGAACGACTTGACTAAGAGCAATTTCTTTGTGCTCGTCCCAGAATGGTTCGAGCTCGAACTAATTGGAAAGATCAGTTAATGAGAATAACATGGACAAGGAAGGCATGGAGGCTCAGACCGTCGCATTAGAGACGAACAAAGAAACATGGATAACAGTGCACAACTGGAGTGGATTGCCGCTTTATTGAACATTGATCGAGGCCCTAAGATTGTCTGGGGACATTCAAGCACCGACTCCGGTTCAGCTGGCCGCTGTAAATCCTTTTGCATCCTCCCGATGAAATATGTTCCTTCAGGGACCATTTGGTGAGTATTCTTCTATACCCAAGACGCTACTAGTCGGGCGCTAGCTATTTGAAGGTGCAGGAAAGACATTGGGATATGCGGTGCCAGTAGTCAACGAAGTGTTACTCGCACACATTGCAAACGAGAAGATCAAGGTTTCACAATCTACAGTCTTGAAACCAACTGTTTTAGTGATATTGCCCACCAACGCGCTGGCCACGCAAGCAAAAGCCACGTTTAATAGGCTTTTGGCAGTCTTGAACGGAAGATTGAATAGGACTTGAAAGTCCTTGTCAGCTTCAATCTGGTGGTGATGACGTCCCATCCCCCCTTCTTGTACCTGCTGCTTCTAATGAGGTTGAATGTGACCCCACTTCAGCTTTTGAGGAAGAAATAGATGTTGCCGATCCTTTATCCCCTTCTCTTGTACCTGCTGCTCTTCAATTCAATGGTGCTTCTGCTGGAATTCTCAACTTTTTCGCCCCAATTCCTCAGAAGAAAGATGAATCTCGTCCTCATGGACATGGTGATGGTGATCTCTACTCAGCATCTCCACCCAGGCATTCCTCGCCGGCAGAAACTTCCGTCTTTTTACCAGTCAACGAGGGAACTATCCTTTCGAACATCTTGAAAGATCAATCAGTCGCTTCTGGGGTAAGTCCGAATTCCATCTTCGATCAATGAAGTGCCTTGCTCACTTTTTAATAGCAGACTCTCTCCTGCGCGCAGGGCACATGTGCTCATGGTGCTTGCAAAAGACATGCGGCGAACACCCTTGTATTGTTCCAAGGAGCTCATCTCGCAACCAAAGAGCTCTTGTCTTCACCTGATGCCAATCGGTGTAAGGTCGCTAAGAAGGTCCTCCACAATCAGGACAAGTTTCTGCGTCACAAACGGCTCATAGAAAGGGGCATAGAAGACTATCCTCGCTCTTCCTTGATGAGAGTTGGTCGTCGTTCCTTGAGAGATGCACTATATAAGATGGAGCACGGACCCTCATGGGCAGGTGATCGGTCCCAGTAGCCATTTTAGCTAGTCTTTTCGTATAAGTTAGAAGCTTCGCGTCCAACTTCCTTTTAGATCTTCATCAATGACTACTATTTCCAATGATACCATCTCTTCAGTTCCCGTGCCTCACATTATGTAAGTTAAAACGTCCATCAATCAGTCGCAATTCCACGTAAGATGTAGTCAAGTCTGAGTCTACAGATCCATTAATTGTGGCTCTGTAAATATTTAACGTTTGTCCCATCTTCGATGTCTCCCGAACAATCACTGAAGGCGTCGATTTTGATCATTCTTCAAGAGATCTTCCACCAATAGCACCCAAAGGAAGTCCAATAGAAGAAGTCAAACCCAGGGTATCTAATAGTCCGGACTGCAGTTCAACAATGAAGATTGTTAAAATTTCCAAACTAATTAGGATATTCAAATAGTCTAAGATACCGAATTTGATTAGAACATTTAACTATTCTCAAATTTCTAATTGCTCTTAGATATTCAAGCCCTCATATTGTTGAACTACAGTCCGGACTATTGGATACCCTGAGACTCACCATCGGAATACATTGTTTGAAACTTGGTGGAGCCTTACATTTTCCCAAGAGATAGATAGGAAGTGAATAAATCACAAGAAAATGCAGCTGTTTTACTATCAGTCCCATTTCAAACATTTTAGTGCTAGCTTTAAACAGGCTCGGAAACCTCTTACTTGTGCTAAACTCTTCGAATTACCCACACCACTGCTTATATTCAGACTCATGTGTGATTCACAAGAGATGACTAGCATACGAGTCTCTGAATACCTTCTCGTGACCTGCATCCAGTGCCAGATGAGCCTTGACATAAGTTTTCCATGCAGCCATAAAGTGAGATTCGTCCTTTGTGATTTGGTTTCTCGTGCAAGCATACGAGCCTTTATCGTTTTAATAATGAATTTGAACTAAACGGTGGGGTGTGGGGTATCAGATGTGCAACATTTCACATTGTATACTCTATCGGAGAAGGGCGGACCATATGGTGGGGTGTCGATCTCAAGAATATTGAAACCGTGTATATTATCTATGAGTGAATGAAGCTTATGGAAGAAGACTCGGTGATCACGAGTGTAAATATTCAATTGGTGTCAAAGCTAAAACGGCAAGAAATATGGAAAGGAGCCAGGTCTCGCTCTCTGGCAGTCTGGTTATTGGAATCGGATAATTCAGAATGGACCGGGAATATCATCGTGGCTAAGCTAAATGGTGGGGTAGGAGCATTCAGATGTGCAACAAATTCAAGGGGGAAAATGTATGCTCTAAATGACGGGGTACAGCATTTCAGATATATGACACATCAACGGCCTTTAAACCACTTGCTTGAAGCCAAGCGTGAACGAAGAGTATAGCTATAGTTTTGGAATCACTCGGGCATTGAATCATTGATATGATCCTGACTCTAGTTTGTTCCCTTGTTCGGAGAACTGTTCGCCTGATTATCTCTTAATGGAACCATGGAATTACGGAATTCGTTTATCACACCGAGGTTTTGCTGCGGCGGTTCCTTATTGAAGTGGTAAAGCGAAAAGAAAATATTGGAGCATGTTTGAAGACCCCAGTGAATGGAGTTCTCCCATCTTGGGATCGGTATCTTGAGAAGGACGCGTGGGCGCCGTCTCAGTTGATCGCCAACGTATAGAAATCGAGTATCTTGGCCATTGTTTATACATATTTTGAGAGAAATTCTCCTTTTTTACTGTTATGAAGATTATGACCCATCTCTCAATTCCATTTCTTGAAACTGTGTTAAGCACTATGCTATTTTTCAGACGAGACCAAATAAGTGTAAATGTCTGATGTGACAGCCTTTCACTCCGCAAAGGTAGAAAAAAAAAAAAAGGAAACCATCTGTAAGGGCCCGTTCGAATCGATTTTTTATTTTATTGGTGAAATCTCTAATAATAATAAAATGACAAGGGATTTGAAATATTGGTATTTGAATAAAACTAATATATTTGGAATAATATTGGGATATACGAAATTGAATTGAAAATAAAAAAATTGAATTGAAAATAAAAAAGATAATACTTTTTCTCAAATATATTAGCCTAATTAGACCTCAAAAAATACTATTAATTACTATATAAAAAAAATTGAAAAAATTTGTTTCATTTATTACTTTAAAATTATTTGACTCAATATTTTATTAGATCTACTATTGCATTCAGTAAACACATTTATTTGAGCTAATATATATTAGGCTTAATATTGCGTTCGGTAAACACCATATTAGGCTAATATATTGATCTAATGTCCAAAAACCGATCGATCCGAACGAGCCCTAAGTGGAGTGCTTGTGTCGGTTTCAAAACGTTTTCGAACCGCAACCGCTGGATCTAGCTTCTTCCAAGTTACTTATCTAGTCTTCAATTCACTATGACACTTATCATTGTCATTTCCAGCAAAAACATTAACGGTATCCATGATAGATCATTTTCACCCATACAGTGAGATCTATCAATCTAATGAGTTCTGTGCCATACTTTTTGTAGCATTGGCCGTGAAAACCTAGGTATGAATTAACTACTAAATCTCAACTACAGCCTACAGAAGTGGTAGACTACATTCCATATGATGAAGATTGTTATATTACGAGAATTGCTCCTCACATTACGCCTCAAATTGCGTCAGTCTTCGTAATTTGAGGGTTCTTACAGGCAATAATCTCTTGAATATTCCAAAGTCATTAGTGTAATCTCACCTGGCCGCCCTTATTTTGACGAAATAAGCGAAAAACTTTACTTTCGTTCCACGCCGATCACTACCGATTCCACAAAAAATCGTTCATAAACATATCAATCAAACTTCTTCATTTGGCACCAGAAAAAAAGATAAAATGATTCCCACAGATCTGATAAGCAAAACCTTGCCGCCCCCTCGAGGGGGCGGGAGGAGAAACCCCTCGGTGGGGTTTTTTTCCGTTCGTTCGTCGATTCGAGCCAGGCGTGTTACCACTCCACCACCGGAGCGCATTTGACCTGCACAAACAAGCCTGTTTGCTGCCTTTGCGCTCCGGTACTGGAAAATGAGTTATCGGTCCTTATATAGTAGTGATGTGTGTGTTTGGGGAGTGTTAAGTAAGTGTATGAGAAGCTATGCTGGAACTACAAAGGGAGTTTTCTATCACGAGGTGATGGCTTTCATAATAAGACTCGCAGTATCCATACTTCACGTTTATCGAGTATCGTTCGCAAAAGTTTTATTTGTCTCTATCATTCTCAAGAATGGTTTGAATCCTTAACACACACTCAAAGCTTGGTCTCTCAACCTTAACATTGCGCAAGAGAACCCATTCCGTATAAATAGAACTACCATTTCGATACTCACACAAAACAATCGAAACCCGAACCTCATCCAGCTATATGATATCACAACGTCCATTCCAAGTTCTAAATCTATTTCTATTTCTTCGTGAGAGGCCCACGAATATAATCAAGTAACCAGCATTATTTGAATGTCAAAATTTCCACACTTCTCACCTCACGATTAAATATGCGCATATTTACATTAAAGCTCCGATCTTTTCGATCTTGCGTCTACAGATACTTGACTTGTGAGCCGATTTCTTGATCGATTTGTTACCTTTACTCACACTTTCGGTACTCAACGTTCCGCTATTCACTATGACGGGCATAGCACGGCGTGACTCCTGACGTCAACGACTTTGAATGGTCAACTCCCAGTTACATCCACAAAGGGTTTTGATACAAATTTCAACGCTTTTTTCATAACCCATACTGCATGAGCTTAAATGTTCATGAAAAGCTTAAGTGAAACAAGGCAGTCAGTAAAAATACTTTTCACATGGGGCACGAGCTGTTGGTAGGGGTATTCATCAAATCTTACTTAATCTTTACCACATATACTAAATTATAAATGGCTGGATCAACGGTTGGCTCTAAGCTACCTTTCTTGGGGTTGTCATGTATGTTGGTTATCCTTTAGGACTCATGCGAGAGACTCCTATCCTATCTATCTATTTCTAATGATCGACATAACATTCAATTCCACACACATCTAAGTAAATGGTGGGGTATCATAGTTAAGATCACCAACCCAAATCAGTGTAGTATTGCTAGTGGAATAGGGTATGTCCTAACGACAAGCTTATATATTAGTGAGGTCTGAAGACGTATTAGTTTAACTTTCTCGGTTCTAATGAATCCTGGTCACGCCTTTAGTCTAAAGGGTGGGGTTGAATATGAGATTTGCAACAAAAGATACCGAGTCACAATATGTCATGTGGTATGTCTCAGAGTTTGATACTTCAGATTTGATACGGATATACTTGCGTTGTTGAGTTCCATAAGGATAAAATTCTCGGCTCTATTCGTTTAGTGAGTTGTACAGAAAATGTCACACAATCAACTAATGTATTGGATACGAGAAGCATTCTTACACTCACAATTAGCACGATTCTCATGTAACTTGCCAAGACATCCAAGAACCTTAGCTTTTTGGCGTTCAATGTGGCTGAGACTATCTTCCGAATATTTCGGCAATTAAACGAATGTTTCCATTTGTTTTGCGATCTATTCCACCTAGAATCACAGAAAAAATGTTGCACATCTACCACTCTTGAACTGCAAGGGGATCCTAATAAACTTTCGGGTAAATAAAGTCTGACTCTAGCGCTTCCTAGCTCTCCGCACTCAAAACTTATTCGCTACCCCACAATCATTCAAGTCTTCTAGTAACTGATTTAGACCTGTCTAGAACACTTTTCATGCAGATTTATTACACATCTACATCTTCAATTTCACAGGGTTTGTCCTGACAAGTAAAGGAACCATTCGTTTCATTAGGAACTACAAATATTAGTTTCTCAGGTTTGCGCCACAAATAAGCTTTTAGGATGGTTCGCCGAATATTTTACCAGGAGAATTCTGTCACGCATCTACCTTCTTCATCCTGCAGGCTCATCCTGACAAGCTCACGGGTATGATTTCAAACAGATCTGATTACAGACTGATTTTTGTCCAAATTTAGAGGGTGAAATTCAGCTTCATGGGAACTA